CCGCTTCTACAGGCTTCTCGGCATGTTGGCAGCGGCGGCGACGGTGGTGGCACTGGCTAGGCGTTTTAGTTCGTTTTTAAGTTCATTCACACATGTTTTATGTTTTTTGTATAAATTTGGACGAAAAATGGCCGAGTTCATGCAAAAGTCGCCGAGTTTGCAAAAAACAAGACGAATTTCGCCGAACCCACAGTGACCCTGGGCGTGTGACTGGAATCGGACCGAACCCCAGGGACCGAACTAGCGCCGACTCACTCCCAGGCCGCTCTTTTTCGGCGTCCTGGGGGGCCGAACGGCTGAAGATGCTCTAAGAATCGTGACAAGTGACAGCTGTAGGAATCAAAGGAACGAAAGGGAGAGAAAGTGACACATCCGTTGAGTAGATGAGACCATAGAGCACCAGGACATGCAATGCCAAAGTAAAAGAAGTGGCGCATCACACGACATGATCATTCGGGCTTGAGGATTCAGAGTGCCAAGCAGCAACAAGATTAAAAAAAGCAAGACTACCACAACTCGGGACAAACAAGAGAGAATACGTTTTAAAAAAAAGAGTAGAAAGGGAGTATGAATTAAAAGAAGAAACATTGTCTTACAATCTTGCAAGGCCACGCTCAACACACAAGTTGGCACCGCCCCTTGCATAATACCACCATGTAACTCTCTACGTCTAAACTGGCAAGACTATGGGCTAAACTATTGACTCTTCTATCTACTATACGAACTTTTAACTTCTCTGGTTCGTTGCTTGATGGCTTAAAATTCCCTCGCAATCACTCCGATTTCCATCTATCCATACATGAGGGGCCGAGTGCCTTTGCCACCACGCTATTGTCCGTCTCGATAACTAAAGGTAGGTCCGTACCCAACATCGCTTTCTGTAGTCCTTCTAGACAAGTATAGCTTCTGCAAAATCTGCTCTTTTGCATCGCGGAATATAGTATTTGGGAGATGAATGATCTTGCTTGATGGTTTACGCCTTAGATAGAAGGTGGTGATGTTCGATCGATCATATGATCACTAAATTAAATAAGTATGAAAAAGAATGTATGCAACTCCAAAATGCCATAAATACAGTGTTACAAAATTGCTCATACATGATAAAATAACAAAAAAAATTAACTATGTTTGAACCTAGAAGTTGTCATTGTTTCAAATAAGATGATGGCAAACAAATATTGAAAGAAGAGAAATTGTGAACAGTCTGATGAAAAAAGACATTGAAAAAAATAAATTGCCATGGTCCAAGTAATTAATTTGCCACGGTCTAAAACAGGAACAAAAGTTAGGCATGGTCCAAAAACAAGCAAATGTGCATGGCCCACACAATAAATTTAGCATGGTCCAAATAATTAATTTGTCGGGGTCTAAAGACGAACAAAATTGATGTGGTAAAAAATCAAAGTTGCCGTGGTAATTTTTTTGGCCATGGTCAAGTAATCAAATTTGCCATGGCACAGTAATAAATTTGCCATGATATAGTCAAAAAAAGAATGATATCAAAAATATTGGCAAATGTGGAAAAGTTTATGACATGGTAAATTTTAGAAAAGCTATAGCAATTTTTTTCCTCTAGACTCATGGAAAATTTGGAGAAATACATTTCCATCTAAAATGCATCTTAAGTTGCAATGATATCATATTTGTAGTTGCCATGGCAAAATCAAATATGAAAGATGCCATGACAAAAAAAAAGAGCAACCCATGGCAACAATCTTCGAATAGATATAGCGAAGACATTGCAAAAATTGCCAACATGGCAACGCATGCTTTTATTTTGCCATGGCGAAACATCCATAAAAATTAATAAAATTAGATATGCTTTTAGTTGCCAAGGAAAACACATCATGACAAAAAAAGTATTTGCCATAGTCCATAAAAAGAAATTTGCCATGTTCTCAAAAAAAATAAAATTTAATGGTGCAAAATAAATAAATGTTCCATGGTCTTTTAGTTAAAACTGTCATTCTTTGTATTGAAATTATGATGCAAAATAGAAATGACACAATATAAACACAAAATATGAACAACGAATTGAATGGTAGATTTATATTAAAAATTGACATGGTATTTCAACTGAAATTGCCGGGTTTTGTATGTGAAATTTGTCCTGCATAAATTATGAACAAAATTGCCATGGTAAATTATGTTTTAGTTATTATTTTTCATGTTTTGTATGGAAATTGCCATGAAAAATAGATTGAACATTGCAAACATGAAATTATGAACAATTTTCCAGGGCAAAAATGCGTCTTAACTTGCCATTTTGATATAGCATGGGTTGTCATGGTCTGGAAATAAAACTATTGCATTATTACAATTTGAGAAAACTAAGTTTCCATCCTAACACATCTTCAGTTATTATCATGGGCAAATATAATAACTTCAGTTGCCATGGCAACACATGTTCAGTAGCCATGCAAAAGTTAGGTTTTAGTTGCCATACATCAAAACTATGCACCAAAAAACTCTACTTGTTGCCATGGCAAAAAAAAGGGAACTTGTTGTCATGGCAAAAAAGTATCTTTAGTTGGCAAAAGAGCTAATTTGCCATGATATGCATACTTATAAAAGTTGGCATGCTATTGGTCATATGGCCATCGTTCAGTGATGAGCATGGACGATAAGGTAAAAAGATAATTTGGGGTCGTGGTTAGGGTAAACTCTCCTCTCAAACTTCACCGGCGAGCATGTGGATTCGTCTCCCCTCCGTTTGCCGCTCTGGCGGCTGGGGGGGGGGGAGGGGAATCTCGGTGCCTCTGCTCCGGTTAGTAGTTTAGGTTAGGATTTTTAGTCCTCGCACGTGCGGCGCTTAGGCGGATGACATCGTTTCTTTTCCGAGTTTGTCTTCCGGGCTCCGATCCTCCTCGAGTTCGTTCATCTGGACGATGTCGATGAAGCTCTGGCATAGATTCCTGTTGTCTCCTTGGGGCGGTGAGGTTAGGGTTTTTCTTCATGTGGCGAGATTTGGTGGCAGGTGCTTCAGATCTATTCAAGGGTTCAATGACGACGACGACTATGACTTCAAGGCGCTGGTCCTTAGGGGAACATGCACGACGACTTCCTGACTGTCATCCACAAGGTCAAGCCGGCTCCGGTAGGGAGCGGCGAGTCGGCATCTCGTTCTGATGGCAGTAGCAGTCATTCGGTGGTTTTAGAATCTCGATGTAATTTCTATTATGTTTGAGGTGCTTTGTACTCCCGGTGAACTTTGATAATAGATATGGATAATTTTCACAAAAAAAGGATAATTTTGGTGCGCGTGGGCGTATATCCATAGATGTGTTCGCTCTTTGAGGAGGGTCTTCATGGTCTTGCTATTGTGGACGTCTCTGACCTCGCCAGCATGACCGTTGTAAGCCATGCCTGCGCTCCTGCTGCTACTGCTACATGAAAGGGAGCAGATGAGACGGGGAAATATCAGGTGATACCAAGTCTTAGGTGATACCATGCATGATACGGGCTTCTATGAGCCGTTGGATATCAGATCTAACGGCTCCGAGGGCTCTCGAACATTTTGCAAAAGAATCATCCAAGAGTCACAAAATTACTCGTAGGTACTAGAGATCCTCAGACACCGTAGGATCTGAGATCCAACAGCCTAGAAGCCCGTACCATGGTATCACCTAAGACTTGGTATCATGTGAAACTTTCCCCGGATGAGACACAGGAAAATCACATCGAGACAGAGGAGCTGATGAGACACAGTAACACACACACACACACAGGACTCACATAGATTTCCTTCATCACGGCGCAGGGCCAGCGGCAAGGATGGCGGCGCGAGCGCACGCCCATGAGCGCCCCCTCCTCGATCTCCCAGCGAAGAGCCTGTCCACCGCGTTTGCCCTCACTCCGTGCACTTTCGCTGCTGGAAGGACCACTCAAACGACTCCACCGCTGGGCAGGTCAGCGACGCGTATGAGGTCACCGTCCACCACAAGTTAGTATTTTTTAAGTTTTAATTGAACAGACGAAATATCTTCTATTTTATGTAAATTATGTCCGAACTTAAGTAAATCACACCCTGTTTGCATGAAATTTGTTCTGTTTGGTCAAATTCGATTTAAAATGTATGCGGGCGACATTGGATGGTCTATTCCCGTATCACTTTAAGGCCGGCATAACACATTCCACCTATCTAACCGGTATTTCTCGAGTCATCATCACACTGCCAAAAAATCATGTTCGGATATAGTCCAATCTCTGGACTCTACAGAACCCCTTTCGACAAGAGAAAAGGAAAGACACCATGTATAAAACCAAACCATATTACTTAGGGTGGAATTGATCGAAACAATCACCCCCATTACAACACAAGAGTTTGTATGGTCTTCGGTCGTAATGAAAAAGACATGCAACACTCTCTCCAAAGACAAGAATCCTGCTGGATGACAACATCCCATGATAGGTGTAAGGATCATGACAAGTGATAACTATAGGAATCAAGGAACAAAAGCGAGAGAAAGAGACAGCTCCGTCGAGTGGATGAGACCGTAGAGCAGCAGGACATGCAAGGGCAGAAAACAAGAGTTGGCGCGTCACACGACATATGATCATTCGGGCTTGAGGACTCACATCGGCAAAGCAGCAACAAGATTAGAAAGCAAGAGTACCACCACTCGTCACAAACAAGACAATAGAGCACTTATTTGGGATGATCACTTGCTTGGTGGATTCATGACTTAGACAGAAAGGTGGCGACGTTGGATCGATCATATGGTCGCCAAATTTAAATACAGTAGGAAAAGCAATGCGGGCTAATTAAGACAAAGCGATCCCATGGACCGAATTACAAGACACGGCACGCAGGACCGGGCACATGGAGGCCAACCACGTACTCGCACTACGCATATGCTGCTGCCGACACATAAATAACACGACCATTGCGGGCCAACTGAACTGTTGAGAAGTTGCAAAAGCGCATTTCTCTCTGGATGGGCACAACACAGGTCGCCATTGCTTCAATCTTGCATGGAGCTGACGTGGATGATAACTTGTTACGCGTTGCTCCTGAAGGAGCCGAGGGCCTTGATGGCGCCGGCCCTGAGGATGTACTGGTGGTAGAAGGCCGCGATCGCCGCGCCGATCATGGGGCCGACCCAGAAGATCCACTGCAGCAAACAAATTAAGCCAAGATGAGATCAAAGCAACTTAACATGAAAATGGAATGGTGGTTTGGAGCGTGCAAGTAAATACACTAGATAGTACGGTACCTGATCATCCCAGGCCTTGTCCTTGTTGTAGATGACGGCGGCGCCCAGGCTCCTGGCCGGGTTGATGCCGGTGCCGGTGATGGGGATGGTGGCCAGGTGGACCATGAACACGGCGAAGCCGATGGGGAGGGGCGCCAGCACCTGGAGAAAGACACAAGCAAAGCAAACATAATAGCATGAGACCCAAATTACTTTCTCAACTGAACTAATCGGCACTCCCCATGCCGGGTCGTTTTCAGGTTGCTGGTTCTTCAAGCATGGCATGGCCATGCGTGCTCCGGCCGTCCGCATCATGGGAGTGCTGGAGGACACCCAAAGTCGTGAAAGGCCGGCCACTTGCCGCCCCTTTTGATTGAACGGGAAGGAAACTAGGTGGAGCGGCAACGAGCGTGGAGTGAAGGCTCCTTTTCCCTCTCCCTCCCGGCACATACGCCGGCCTCAGTGCGCGCTTCACCGCCCCAAAAGACCAGAGCCAGTGACTACCAGTACGATGGCATATTTTGACGGGATCGGGCAAAGCGGCCGAACATCACGTTTTGTCACCACGAAACCGCACCTTCACTAGTGCCCTCGCAAAAAGGGATGCTCGCACCATCCCTCACCGGACAGAGTAGTAACTCTCAACTTTTTAGATCATGTAACTCTGAATTTAGCTAGCCACATGCAGCCAAGGAGAGGTAATTTGTACTACAAGACCAATAATTCATCGTGGATGTCAGGGTGGGGGCCCTGGGCAATAATTCACCAGCCAGCGCTGGACGAAATCGGCCATGTGTTATCACACCCAAACAGCTCAGCTTACTGTTGGGGCCACATCGGCCAAGGCCATGGATGAGATGGGACTTAACTGGAATAGTAAACATACTTATCACAGTAGTGACTGTCTGAGTGTCTGGCCACGCGGACGTGTACTACTCCACTAGATGCATCTGGATTCTTCATTCTTGCGTCAATTGCAGTGCCAGTTCAACTATTACGACCCACATTTACGCCTACGGGAAGACTTATGTCTACTGTTATGGAGAAAAACATTTTCCTACTCCCTCCGTCACGGTTTAGAAGGCGCGCTAGGAAATTCTTTCGGACCTATGTGGTTATCTATTGGTTGTGAGATGGGTTAAAAAATAGCATTCATACTGCACATGTATATAGAAATAGTACTATCGAAGTATTAATTAGCTACTAGAAATAAATGCAATGCGTCTTAAACCTTGTCTATTGTGGACACACGCAAATTTAACTGTGCCTTCTAAACTGTGACGGAGGGAGTAAAGCATCATGGCAGTACTTAATTTTTACAAAAAAAAAAACTCCCTAACATTCATACATACTATCCTCCTTTTTGTTCATCCTAGATGATATATCTAGGATAAAGGAGTATCATTCTACCCATTTTGTTCATCGTATAGGATATTCTTGCTTTCCCCCTTTTTGTTCATACGTATGCATCATGCTCCTCATTTTGGACGATCTATCCTCATGGCATGCCATCTTCAGTTAAGCTCTAACAACTAGCTTTACTTTTCTTATACGAACAAGAAATCTTTACTTTTTCAAAAGAATTCTGCGGCATGTCGTGCTTACCGGGACGTGAGAGTCGCGCGCGCTGCGCTTGGGGTCGGTGGCGGAGAAGACGGTGTAGACGAGCACGAAGGTGCCGATGATCTCCGCGGCGAGGCCGGTGCCCTTGGAGTAGCCGGCGGCGAGCGTGTTGGCGCCGCCGCCGTACCTGACGAAGTAGGCGCTCTGGAAGGCCTTGACGAGGCCGACCCCGCACATGGCGCCGAGGCACTGCGCAATCATGTAGAGCAGCGCGCGGACCAGGGAGACCTTGCGCGCCAGGAAGAGGCCGAAGGTGACGGCCGGGTTGATGTGGCCCCCGGAGATGCCGGCGGTGCAGTAGACGAGGACGAAGATCATGCCGCCGAAGGCCCAGGCGATGCCGAGCACGCCCACGCCGCCGCACGCCGCGTCGGCGGCGGCGTTCACCGCGGGGTCCGTCTGGTGCTTGTACCCGATGACGGTGGCCACGGTGATGTAGAGGAAGAGCAGCGTGGCGATGAACTCCGCGATGACGGCGCGGTACAGCGACCAGGAGGCCAGCTCCGCCGCGTCGATCAGCGGGGCCGGCGGCGGGTCCGTGTAGTCCTTGGCCGCGAAGTCGCCGCCGCCGCCGGTCTCCATCACCTCGTCCTTGGCCATCGGCGTGTAGCTAGCCTTCCTTGCTGTTCCTTCTCGCTGCAAACCTGACTGGAAAAAATGGAGGTGGGGCTTGCGGTGTGTGGTGGGGGAGTGACGAGAGGAGAGGAGAGGAAGGTGGTATTTATGGAGCGGGGGAGAAGCGGTAGGTAAAAGACAACAAGGCGAGGGTGTGTGGTGTGTGTGCGATCGACGGAGGGGCTCGTGTCCTTGATTGAACAGAAAACTGAGCTAGTGACGGAGTAGTATTTTCTTCTTCTGAATTCTATTTGTATTTGTACGAGTAGGAGGAGTATTTAATTTGCTGATAAGACTGAATGGGCCTTTTGTTTTTCTGCTGCAGTGAAGTGAGGTGGATAAGCTGTTGGGGCATGTGCAAACGCCACATTCCAGGATTCACGGATATCTCTTCCCTCCATTAGAAGTTTGGAGAGCTTGCCGACTGAGCATTGTGACAAAATGAAGACGATAGGTGTTTCGTAGATTAGGGCGTCTCCCCAAAAACGAACAGTATCTTGTCAGACATCCAACCGTGTAGCTCAAACGGGCCGCATATATTTCAAACGTCAGAAGATTTTTCACACAAACTAGAATTTTTCATTTAAACCGGGCTACATTCATCACATTTTCGTCATAAACAAAAGGGTTCAGAAGTTAAACTAGTCTAATGATGTGTTTGGTTAACTGCATAGAGCCCAACCAGGACTGCGCAGGAAAAAAGAGCATGTTTGGTTGCATACAAGTAGGCCAGGCTCACATCGACACGAACCTTAAAGCAGTTCAGAGCCTGGCTCGCTGGGAATGCCCGAATCGGCCATTTCGAGCGAGTCAGGCTGAGTCGGGGGCAAAAGCGGGGCACAACGTACGCCATGGTGCGGGTGGGAATAAAGGCGGAGATGGTGGGAGAAGGAAATCGACGGAGGTGGGATGGCGTGAAATGGCACAGAGGCTCTACGGATGCTTCAAATGAAAAGAGCACCTTTCTCCAGGCTTGTGCAAACATTCAGGAGCAAGGGGCTGCATGAAGATAGCATCCACACCTTTGTGGAATACCAAGTTGTCATATTCCTGCATGTTGTAGGTCATAACCAGAGGTTTAGGGTTATCTACAACACGTTCAGGAGATCATTGAAGACCATTTCCAGGTATTTCAAGCAAGTGTTGTATGTTGTTGGGGAGCTCAGAGGAGAGATGATCAGGTCACCAACCGGGCAAACTCCTAGTAAGATACGCACTAGCCCAAGATGGTATTCATATTTCAAGGTGAGCACTAATCGTAGTTCATGCATTCACATGCTTGTCATGCCATTTTTAGGATTGCCATAACACCATCATGTCATACCATTTTCAAGATTGCATTGGCGCAATAGATGGTACTCATGTGACTGCTAAAGTGCCGAGGTCACAGGCCGTAGCATACACGGGTAAAAAGCACACAAGCCAGAATGTTCTCGATGCGGTTCACTTCGCTGAGAAGTTCACATATGTGTTTACTGGGTGGGAAAGATCAACCCATGATTGTTTACATTCTAACTGACAACATGTCTAGACCTGATGGCATCAATATCCCCGATGGCCAGTTCTACCTATCAGATGCTGGCTATGCATGTCGGCCTGGTGTTCTTCTAACCTTTCAGGAAAACCAGGTACCATGTGAACAAGTTCTCTTCCAGGAACTATTCCAGGACTCCACAGGAACTGTTCAATCTCAGACACTCTAGCTGTAGAGTTACGGTTTAGAGGGCATTTGGGGCTCCGAAGAACAGGTTTAAGATCCTGTATCATAAGCCCTTCCAGCCTTACCCTACCCAGGTTAAGTTTGTTATTGCATGTTGTATCCTCCATAACTGGATCCTACAATGAGGGTGTGATAACCTTATGTCAGAGGAGGAAGAGGTGACACCTAATGATGTTATTAGCTTCGGAAGAGCACGAGGATGGACTTCCACCTAGTTAGCATCGATGAACTTTCCCCAATTCAGCCATATGGCTCTTAAATTTGTACTGCCATTTGTTAGTAGCTAGGATGATCTGCCATTTATTTCCTAGCTAGGACTGAGACGATGTTCAAATCGTGTGTGGTAAGGTCATCACTAGTGAGAAGTGGTGATCAAACCTTATGTCGTTCGCTACCAAACATTGTGTAGTTTGTCTAACAAGTGCGACTCGGGCAACCAAACACCATGGGAAAAATTGCTCCTTTATGTAGCCAACCTACATGCATGCAGACAAACGATGTGTATATGATGGTTTTCTGCTTCTTTTACCTCGCCCAGGCACAACTGGGACACAGATGCAGAGTGCCAAAAAACAAATATGGCAACCGAACGTGTAATAAATCTTCACTGGCGCTTGTGCTCCATGTCCTTATTGTTTCCCATGGGTGTGTCCATTTCAGCAGGCGTGAGCCCTGGGAAGTGAAATTGCAGGCCGCCGACAAGTAAGAGTAAGACATGGGACATGGAAGTACCCACATGGGACACCGACGACTCCATCTCCCATGTCCTACTCTTCATCATTGGAGTATGTGGCCTCGACGGGCCGGCACCGTGATCGTAGCAGCCTGGCGCAAACGACGCACAACTGTCGGCGTTCCCATCCGGGATTGCCTCCACGCCTGACTCAGTTGTGACCGCGTTGTAGCTAGCATGAGCGGTGTGTGCGGCCTCGTAGAATGCCTCTGCTCATCAACAAAAATTGGGTTCTCTGCGGCCATGGCCACCATGACCTCCTCGCTCGCAAACTCGCTGTAGATGTGACCCTCCGCCAGCCGATGATGCGCTAGGAGGGCCGAGTTATACCGCTGCTCTTCCCTCACCTTCCGGAACGTCGGTTGCTCCTCCGCTATGATGGTGTTAAAGTACGTCTGCTCCATGGGGAAGCTGGCATGGACCAACACGGGAGGGGCGTCTGCTGATCGTCATACGACTCCTTCATCGTCAGGTCATTGTTGGCCCCCTCCGACGAGCACGCTAGCAAGTCATCCTCTATCCATCAGGCGACAGTTCTGAAGGAAATATGCCCTAGAGGCAATAATAAAGTTGTTATTTATATTTCCTTATATCATGATAAATGTTTATTATTCATGCTAAATTATATTAACCGGAAACTTGATACATGTGTGAATACATAAACAAAACAAAGTGTCCCTAGTATGCCTCTACTAGACTAGCTCGTTAATCAAAGATGGTTAAGTTTCCTGACCATAGACATGTGTTGTCATTTGATGAACGAGATCACATCATTAGGAGAAGGATGTGATGGACAAGACCCGTCTGTTAGCTTAGCATAATGATCGTTAAGTTTTATAGCTATTGCTTACTTCATGACTTATACATATTCCTCTAACTATGAGATTATGCAACTCCCGAATATCGAAGGAACACCTTGTGTGCTATCAAACGTCACAACGTAACAGGGTGATTATAAAGATGCTCTACAGGTGTCTCCGAAGGTGTTTGTTGGGTTGGCATAGCTCAAGATTAGGATTTGTCACTCCGAGTATCGGAGAGGTATCTTTGGGCCCTCTTGGTAATGCACATCACTATAAGCCTTGCAAGCAATGTGACTAATGAGTTAGTTACGGGATGATGCATTACGGAATGAGTACAGAGACTTGTCGGTTACAAGATTGAACTAGGTATGAGGATACCGACGATCGAATCTTGGGCAAGTAACATACCGATGACAAAGGGAATAACGTATGTTATTATTGCGGTTTGACCAATAAAGATCTTGGTAGAATATGTAGGAACCAATATGAGCATCCAGGTTCCGCTATTGGTTATTGACCAGAGATGTGTCTCGGTCATGTCTACATAGTTTTTGAACCCGTAGGATCTGCACGCTTAACGTTCGATGATGACTTGTATTATGAGTTATGTGTTTTTGGTGACCAAAGTTTGTTCGGAGTCTCGGATGAGACCACAGACTTAACGAGGAGTCTCGAAATGGTCGAGAGGTAAAGATTGATATATTGGATGATAGTATTTGGACATCGGAATGGTTTCGGGATGTTTCAGATATTTATCGGAGAACCAAGGGGTTACCGGAACCCCCCGGGGAAGTAATGGGCTGTGACGCCCCCGATTCAATCATACACTAATCATGCACGCAAATGTGTACGATCAAGATCAGGGACTCACGGGAAGATATCACAACACAACTCTACAAATAAAATAAGTCATACAAGCATCATCATACAAGCCAGGGGCCTCGAGGGCTCGAATACAAGTGCTCGATCATAGACGAGTCAGCGGAAGCAACAATATCTGAGTACAGACATAAGTTAAACAAGTTTGCCTTAAGAAGGCTAGCACAAACTGGGATACAGATCGAAAGAGGCGCAGGCCTCCTGCCTGGGATCCTCCTAACTACTCCAGGTCGTCGTCGGCGGGCAGCACGTAGTAGTAGGCGCCTCCAGTGAAGTAGGGGTCGTCGTCGACGGTGGCGTCTGGATCCCGGACTCCAGCATCTGGTTGTGACAACCAGAAAGAAAGGAAAGGGGAAAAGGGGGGTAGAAAGCAACCGTGAGTACTCATCCAAAGTACTCGCAAGCAAGGAACTACACTACATATGCATGGGTATATGTGTAAGGAGGCCATATCAGTGGACTGAACTGCAGAATGCCAGAATAAGAGGGGGGTAGCTAATCCTGTCGAAGACTACGCTTCTCGCAGCCACCGTCTTGCATCAAGTAGAAGAGAGTAGATTGAAATCCTCCACGTAGCATCTCCAAATAGCATCTCATAGCATAATCCTACCCGGCGATCCCCTCCTCATATCCCTGAGGTAGAGCGACCACCGGTTGTATCTGGCACTTGGAAGGGTGTGTTTTATTAAGTATCCGGTTCTAGTTGTCATAAGGTCAAGGTACAACTCCAAGTCGTCCTGTTACCGAAGATCACGGCTATTCGAATAGATTAAACTTCCCTGCAGGGGTGCACCACATAGCCCAACACGCTCGATCCCATTTGGCCGGACACACTTTCCTGGGTCATGCC